TCCTTTTCTTATTTCTTGATCGATTCTGACGATAAATATTGAGTGATTGCCAGTTAGATGTTAACAGTTAGGTAATCAACATCTGAATAGTGTTCATTCTTTTCAATGTATATTACCAGCCACCATGATGTCGCTGATTGTACCTTTTTGTAACCTGTACAGTGAAATGTCGTAAACCTTTCATAAACGCCCCTGAATAGGTTGTGCGCTCAAATGACATAATAATGTGTTAAAACAAACAAGGAAACAGATAACTTTTAAAAATATCTAGATGGCAGGAGCTGGTAGCCCAGATAAATACAACTAACGGTGCATATTACATAATTCTTATTCATCTTTACTAATTGATAAATAAATCTATAGTAAATAATTTGAGATGTGAATATTTCCATTAATATACATCTTCACCTAGATCATTTGTATTTCCCTTGACAGAACTAAATATCAAATTTTGTTGGAACATTGTACTTAATGGTTTAGTTGTTTGATCTATTAATTATCGATGCAGTTCTGTGAATAAATATAAAATAATAATAATTTTTTGTATTTTAATCAGTATTGGTTTTACTAATCATGAAATAATCTTAAATAAATTTTACGTATTAATATCTCAATAGAAACCATGATCCATAGAATTAATCAAGTTGTAATAATTACTTATCGATGATATCAAATATACTTTATTATGAATTAGTCAGTGTTGAAAAATATTCGTCAGTTGATTCGATTCAATACCTAATTTTATCAGTATGACCTTATGCAAAGACATTAATATCCATTTCGGAATGTGTCCACTGAGCCGACATCCAACGGTGGTTAAGCGCTCGCGCGCGAGACTGATAGGTCCTGGGTTCGAATCTCGCAGGGGGGGCGGGATCGTGGATGCGCATTGCTGAGGAGTCCCATACTAGGATGACATGGCCGTCCAGTGCTTCCAAGCTTTCCATGATGATCTAGCTTCAATTGACTCATTATTTCAACTATTGAATTTACTAAAATCTCTACAAAACCCCTTCTGATAAAAAAATGTTAGTAAATAATTATAATTAGAACCGGTCAATGTCATTCATTTTTTGTTCACCAGATTTTAATCAATACACACGCACATACCTTTTGGGATTTGATCGGTATTAAACTCAAAGCTTACGACAAAAAAATTCTGTGGTTATGCTTGAAAATAGGTAAGAGCAGAAGGAGGGCAAAAGCATAGTCGATCACAAATTTTTTTAAACATTCGGTTACATATTTGTTATAATTAGTTCTTTTTCTGAAAATAACACAGGTGACAATATATATAAGAGTGTGTGTTATGTATATGTTGAGAATGTGTGGACTAGACAACTTTTCTAATGCCTCTTTGTTTCATTTTTCGTTCAATCATAGTCACATTTACCCTTTGTCATTTCCATTTTGTCTTAATTATTTTATTTATTTATTATTTGAGTTACATCCCCCCCCCAACTTTTTTTATTTTACATAGTGTGTTCAAATCAGATTTAAATTCATTGGTTTGAAAAACTGGATACTGGATATAAATTGAAGACTCCCCTTTGTACATTTCTTTCTTTACAAAATGTTCTTTTTCCAGGTAGGAAAAGAGGGATTCAAACATGTATGATGGCATTTGAAAAAGACAAACATACAACAAGCACTTATGTACACACTTCTGAATCCACAACACTAATGATATACATGAGTGTGTATATAATACACACAATTAAATAAATTTCAATGTCACTCCTTCAAATTTTTCCATCAAATAATTTGCATTATCGTCGTCATGTTAGGGTATCGGATAGATAGAGAGAAGAAATATATAGCGACCAATTTTGTAAGCCCTATCTGATCGATAATTGACTTGCTAGATAGATAGTGTGGTGGATGAATAAATGAATGAGTGAATTAATGAATAGATAGGTAGATGGATAGATAGAAAAACTGATCGACCACTCCTGATTGATTGACACAAGTTTAAGAGTAAACTATCAACTCATTATTGACAAGCATCTGGTCATGTGGTCATAAAACACGCAAATAATATACAAATATACGTACATTGATATGTATGTAAAAATTTGCATGAATATTATATATAAATACAGACTGGCAAGTCTCATATTTCAAGCAGTTAAACCTATCCATCTTATACTCATTTGAAAAAAATATATTTACACAGAGTAAAATGAGTTTTTGGTTGTCATAGCTGCATGTGTTTTAACATCAGCATTTTTCCATTAAAAAGGATTGTATATACACAAAAGTAAATAAACAAAGCGAAGGAAGTGGTGGGGTGTGGTATAGTTGAATGAATGGGGTAGAGGATAAGTATTACAACCGAATAATGAAGGGAGGGTCGATAAGGATGACCTTAATCGAGGTTTTTGCTTTATCTCATTCATATTTGCATACTTATGGATCTATGGATCTATGACCCAATATTTTTTTGTTCAGATAAGATATCATAACATACTATTCAAATAGTATTATAAATACCGTTACTATGACAATTATAATAGGTGGATTATAATAAATAAATGAATAATTCAACAGAATAACATATCAATCACTTTATTCGAGATTATTGAATTCAATCATCCAACTAACGAATTGTGTTAGTCAACCAAATTATCATCAAAGCAAATGGAAAACACACCATCATTATAGTCTATAGTGTGTAAACACTTTTGAGTATTTTGTTTGTGGTCATATGATAGTGTACATACAATCCATGTAGTTGCATGTTTACGTTTAGTTATGTTTACTTATTTGAAAAGAGTTTTTCAAATAAATAAAAAGAAGGAAACAACACTATAAATATCATATATGTTTATAGAAAAACAGATACTACACACAAATACTGATTAAAATTAAACTGTACACAGTTACTTTTGATAAAATGAAAAGTACCTGAATCAGTTGGATAGAAAGATAATGTACATTGTTTACACTGTTGTCTTATGAAATCGTGTGTGTGTGTGTGTTTGTTTCTATGCACAAGATGAAATAGATAAATAGTTTTAAATAATCATCATAACCTTAGTTCAACTATGTATTTATCTATAAACATTTATTAAATACTTTGTAATCAATATATGAGTTTATTAATTGTCATTACTATTGATGACAGTAATCATAATAAATATTTGTCAATGATTATGCATTTTATGAATTATGTAATTGTACAAGTGATTTGTGAAGATTGTTGACTATCATAGTTTGGATTTAAAAGATGGTTTTATTTGGACAACTATTGAAAACAAAGAAGTCCTAAATAGTTGTTTCGTCCTAGTGTAGGACTCCCTTGACCTATATATCCACGATCTCACTAGGAATTAAATCTAAGACCTTTAATTTCTCTGTAAATGATTAAATCATAACCCATTCAGTCAATATCTAATAGTGTATTATGTCTAGCTTCGATCAATTATCGATATTGTGCTACTATATTTATTTACTTGCGATGAGTTATTAGTCAAAGAAATTTAAAGAAACTATTGAGTTTTCAAAGTTTATATTTACCGAAGTTAAACATGATGACTATTGGAAGCTGGTGATCTAGAGGCTAAATGTTTTTGCGCGACACCAACGATCCTGATTTCGGTCCCCTGTGATGGTGTTGCGAGTGTGTGTTACTTTTAAAGAGTCCCATACTGAAGTGAAACAGATCGCAGGTTATTCCTGATTTAAATGATTATTTGACTGAGGTTAGTCATTGAGGCAAACTATTAAACTCTACAATCATCACAAATCCTGTCTATTTATGAACTTCACTATTTGTTAGCTGAATTTGACACAATCTATACATTAAAATTAGAAATAATTATTATCATTTGTATGAGTTTGATTGTTATGAAAAACTGATTTTAGAAAAATACCATTGTCTAATCTAATGACTAGTTATCGAAGTATAATCATTCCAGCTAACAGTATCAGTAGCAATGAAATTTTTGCTTTTTTTTATTTAAATGCTACAATCCATCTAAAGTAATAGAGCGTTCAGTATAAGGAACGTTTGAGCAGTTTATTTTTAGAACTGTCTGGAAGGATAATAAGAAAGTTTACAATTAAACAAACAAGTTCATATAACTTAACTCTATTATAATCATTCACTTGAACTGCACAGAATTTCTACATTATCTCAAACTTGTATTTATTAATTAATATTCAGTAAGAGGGATGTAGATTGAAAACAAATGTCAAAAAATAAAGTGGTCGACAGGGTAAGTATTCATACATGAGACCGAAGGTCCTGGGTCCTAACCACACGTGCATGATCATAGATGCGCATTTCTGTCACATACTAGGACGAAATGACGATCCAGTGATTCCAGGTTTTCAGTGACTGTTTAGCTTAGATAGACTCATGAATTCAGTTGTTAAAAATACTACAATCTCTACAAATCGCCTTACTGATAACTATAAAATATGAAACTATGTACAATTAAGGAATGCCTAACATTCGTTTTCTCTTTGCTTTTAGGTTCTTAACTTAAGCTCAAAACTATTATTATTTGTTATTAAAGTTGGTTATTGATTAGCATCCGAATATAGAACATGCGTTTTGTTCAGTTAATGCATTAATGATTTTCCAATGTTGGTCTTCAGATCGAATTAGAAAATAGTGTTTCTTTACTTATACATTGAACTATTAAGTCCAGATAGTCACTGGCTTGTGTGTTAGACACAAATTTTAAAATATTGTTAGTAAATGGCAAAATCCTGTCAATCTAATCATGATCCATATAAACTAGTATAGATTAATCAGTTACATTCCTTAACATCAAATAAGGAAAAATACAACCTCTTACAAGGAACATTACTTAGTCTTACCGAACATGGTTCAATTTAAGTAATATATTGGCATCTAAATAATCATGAAATATATATCCAACAATTTCATTTTAGAGTGATATATATATATATATATATATCCATAATAATTCATTACAACCAGACTTATATTGTCAATAAATAAGTTCATTAAAAATATTATAACTTACTTTTTGAGTTTCTTGTACTGCCTATTTCATTATTGAACCCACTTAAACACTTAACAACTGGTTTATTGTTCGTTCCATATGATAAATCATTTTCTGAACGTTCATCTATTAATCCATTACATTCTTTACTGTTATTATTATCATTACTATGAATTATTCGTTCATGTAATAACATCTCTTCGGTAAATTCTTCATCATCTTCATTATCACCCGGCATTTCATTCTCTTCAATTACTTCATCATCAATATCTTCCATTTCGGTGACGGATCCATCGTTTGCATAATCTACTATACTATTAATATTATTATCATTACTATTAGTGGTATGTGTATACTGATGTAGCTGTTGTGATTGTCTTAAATATTTCGATTGTATTGCATTCCTATACAGATGTTGTTGTCCGTTCATAAGCATCATATCATGATGATTGAATAATTCATCATGGAATTCTTTTGATGATAAATTCATCAAATCTAAATTTTGAAAAGTTTGATTAAGTCCTGTTGGAAATGCAGACGTTGCTGCTGTTGCTGCCGCTGCTGTTGGGGATATTGATCCGGCTAATGACAATGATGATGAAGAGGATAAAGGTTGTGAAAACGTTGACAGAGATGGTATACACCTGGATACGTCTGAATTAGGTCGACATATACCAGCCATTGCTGCAGCTACAGCCGCTGCTGTCATCATTGCTGCTAATGAAGATGTGGATCCAGTTGATACTGTTGCTGGATAATTGGTGATTGATTGAGATTGACTTGAATTTAAACAATTGGTGCTTAAGATAGAATTAAATGTTGATTGAACACTTGGTGATCTATTTACTGTAGAATTTGTTATTGCTATTGATTCAGAAGCCGATGATGGTGATGTTGAAGAACAAAGGGGTGTTGATGGTGGAATAGAAGCAGCAAGAGGGAGAGGAGGAGGGCGAGGAGGACGTGAACATAATCCAATGGTATCATTTGTATTATTTAACTTTGGAGAAGTTTTTATAAATATCGATGAATTCAATTGATTTTCATCTGATGAAATTGAAGAAACGCATGATGATGATGACGACGACGTTGATGATGATGAAGAAGCTGATGAGATGCCTGGATCTGTTTGAGTCGAGTTAAATGGGATAGTTGAATTCGACGAAGTGGTGTTTAGTTTATTATCATTTGTCTCTTGACTTTCATTTGTTTCATTATTCAATAAATTTGTTATGATACTACCATTATTCCCATCATTATTATTACGATGACTGTTAGAAATACATTCATTATCATTGCTAATGATCTTGTTATCATGGTTATCAGTAGTAATATTAGAAGTATTATGCGTATTAGAAGTAAACAATGGTGAAATTGATGAATTCTTTCCTGATAAATTATGATATGGAAATAAACCGATATTTTCTGCTTGTTGTGTACACCAGGCAGATAAAGCTGTAGCTAATATATTTTGATTATTATCTGTTAATGATGGACAGTTAGTTAATTGTAATAGAAGCGGATTTGTTGACGCTCCATTTATAAAATTTGACGGTTGAATAAATGGTGGATAATTGAAAAGATTCTTTTGACTTGTTGAAACATTATTATGATTAGTGTTATTATTTAGACATGAAGTATTAGCTAATGATGAGAATCCTGATAATTTGTTCAATTGACAATTGATTTGATTAAAATCTTGTAAATTAGACATTGATTCATCTGCTATTAAATGTCTTGGACTTTTACTTAAGTGAACTGATGATGCATCACATGGTGGAGATAGAACCGGCGGGAAATTATTTGAATTTGATAATAATCGTTGATTATTGCCAAATAAAGAAGCAGTTTGTTGTAGTGAATCTAAAGTAATATTGGATGCATGCCATGGATCAAATGGGTTTGAGGTGATATTATTACTATTATTACTGTTAGTATTATTACCACTACTATTATTACTACTACTACTATTACCAGGGAATGAATTAAACGGCCAACAACCACTAGCCATTAAAGCTGATAAAAACACTGGGTTCATATAAGCTGGATAAGGTGGGAAATTCATTGGTAACGGTGTATTGGACAATGGTGAATAGATTTGTGGATTGTCATTAATTGTAGTAGTCGTACCAGATGACAAGCCGGAATCATTATCAACTTCAGAATTAATAGATTTCTGTGTCTGTTGATGCTGACAGTCACGATAGAAATTCGATAACTTTACTGACTTACTGTTACTAGGTGCAGTGAGAGTAGTATTAGTATTACTATTTAGCATAGGAATACAAGAAGGATGAGATAATGACGAAGAAGATACCATAACTTGTTGACTATTCACAAGATGATTTTTGTAACATGGCGAACAATTTGAATTGACATATGGATAAGAATAATTCCATTTGTCAATTGAATCATCTTCATAATGACAACGTTTATGCTCTGCATTTAACAGTGATAATTCACAACTGGAATGACGTTTACGATTTCGACGTATTACACGATGCGGTTTATTATCGTATTCATGTTTACAAATAGTAGTGGATGTAGTTGCTGTTGTTTTTATCATATTCACTGAAGTGGAAGGATTGATTTCAAGGTGTGGAGGAGGACTAGATGTACAGTATAAAGATGAACAACACGAAGATTCTAGGCATATGTCCTTTTTCTCTTCGTCTTCTTTTCCTTCATTTTCATCATCCTCAAAATTCTCACTATCATCATGGGATGAACAGTTATTGCCAAAGATTATTGATTTTTTATTCAATGAATTTGGTGGTGTTATAACAGGTGTTAGTAAAGCAGTTGGTAGACAACATCCATCATGTTCATTTGTTGCAAACTATGAAAAATAGGAAATTATAAAAAGAAAACAGGAAGAAAAAAATTGATGAAGCAGAAAACGATATTCTTTTTTTAAGAAAATACATAAAAGGAGATCGTTATTCTAAAAATTACTTTCACGATGATTCAACAGCTTTAGAAGTTATTTATAGAAGTATAACTGGTTTATGTCCGTCTCTACAGCCACACTTAGTGAAGGGGTACCGAAAAATTCATGAAATAACCTTAGTTAAACCATCATTGAAGGCCTTGAAGCACTAGACAACTGTTCCGTCGTAATATGAGACTCCTCATTAGTGTATGTCCACAATTCCACCACATGAAATGAAATCCAGGGCGTTTAACCTCGCAGTTTAAAAGTTTAGCGTTCTCTCGCGAACAGAAAGTCTTGAATTAGATTCCCTGTGTCAAGATAGTGGATGAGCACTGCTACTGAATAGTCTCATACTATAATGAATCAGAGATTCAATGCTTCTTAGTTTTCTATAGTGGTTTAACTAAGTTCAGTTTATGATTTAAATCATGATAATTCAGTAACCAAATATAACTCAGTGTATTAAACCAATAGATGGTAGCCCTAATTTAAAGATTAGTGTGATACTTTTAGATTATTTAAATTCAATAATTATTCAAACCTACTACCACTACTCAATAGTTCAAATACTTTGATCACATTATACAATTAACTAGCCAGTAACTAACCAGTCAAAATATTCAAATCACCTTTAAATGATATCACTAAGATTTATTTATACATAAATGGTAGTTATCTTGTTTTATTCTCATCTGTTTTCTATTCTTTCCACTTTTTTTTTCTTTCTTTCTTTCTATTATTGTTACAAATATTGTCAATAATGGTTGATGTTAAAACTGATTAAATTAAATTCCTAATAAATGAATTGTTAATTTACTTATGAAAATGTCTATATATAATTTCGATACACTAGAAATATTGTACATTGGAAATTGAACAAAAGAACCAAAGAAAAAGATTGACCCATATTTTAAACCAAATGTAAACAGAATTATTATTATTATTTTTTCACATATATACATGAATAGATGATTTTATTCCCATGTTGTTTAATCTTTATATTAATATTCTGTTACATTTTGATCAATAAGTTTAATGTATTTATAACAAATCCTGTTTAACTCATTCACCATAGTTATATACACGAGTCTATATATATATGTTTTCGGGTGTGTGTGTGTGTGTGTGTGCGTGTATGTATATAAGAGTGAGAATATTTGTTGATTTATTTAACTCTTCCCACTTGTTTATCAGGTCTTCTATTAAGAGATCATGAATCAATTGATGTTAGACCATTATTGAAAACTTGGAAGCATTGGATGACCGTTTTGTCAGGTCTTCCCCTTGATCATTTATCTCTTAACAGAATATGTACACATATTATAAAATCATAAACTTATTGAATGATTTACATGAGGAAAAACACCCAAATATTTTGTCTCAAAGAGAAAGAAAACCGAAAAGAAGGTGATATATAATGAGTGATTTATTTTGAAGAGAAAGAAAAAATGATCCACATAAATCAAATTTAAAATGAACAAAATAGATTGATAAATCAATTTTTATAAGTAATTTAATTAATTATCTTAATTAATTCTCAATTTAACCAACACTCATGTATTTATTTTAGATGTGATACTAATCTATACAGTTTATTGATTTCCGATAAAATCTATTTTTTTTTTGGTGTAACAAAAAGGAAAGATCATTATTATTACTATTATTATTATCATCACTAGATTTCACAGGTTGAAATCATGAGTCAATTGAAGCTAGACAACCATGGAAAACCTGGAAGCACTGGACAGCCGTTTCGTTTTAGTGTGGGACTCCTCAGCAGCGCGCATCCACGATCCCACCCCCCGCGAGATTTGAACCCAGGATCTATCAGTTCCGCGCCAGGCGTTTAACTAACTAGACCACTGAGCCGGCATCCAATGATGTCAATGTCTAACTTCAACCAGGTTTTTTATGGTGGTCTATGTTCATCTGACTCATGATTTCAATCTGTGAAATTTCTAAAATCTCCAAAAACCTCTTCTGATATTATTAGATTGTTTAATGTTAATAACAATGTGAATAGATGAATAATAACTTAAAACTTATAGTTGCTGATTATTTCATCTCTCGAATGTAGGTTTAATCGCTATACTCTTTCTATTGTGCTTCGGGAAACATGAAACAATTACTTATTTATTACATTATATATGTACTTTGAAGTTAATTACATGAATTTGTAACTGATTATTACGTTATATTACTGTTGTTATTCTTATAACTACTAAATATATTCACTTTTTCTATATAAATAAACAGAGAGATATCTGTACATAATAGACTACAATGATGTTGAACGGAATGTACAATAGTGTATAGTCATCTAGACCAGAAATTGCATTTACAGTCTAGAAAAGAAAATGACTAACGCTCAAGAATTAATTAATGTATAAATAACTCGATCTTGTAAGTAGTTGATAGTTGCCTGAAGTGCTCCGTGATAATGTTTATTAACATTAGGACACTGTGTGATTCAGGTTCAAATTCAATTGATACTACCAATTGAAATCATTTCGTAGACATTCCTTACTGATGAGTATCGAGTTTCACAAAATCAGGTATCCTACTATCACAACAATTCATCATTGTCTCAAACAACCTAATCTTTATGACATTTACATTTTATAGAATGATAACTACTATTGAGTAACTTGAATTACTTGAAATTCAATGCCTTACACTAAATTTTACCAATCGTTACTCATATATGATTGATTATTATAATGAAAATAAAATCGATAATTAATTATATACGAATAATTGATTTTATATTTGTACCTTGATATAATGAATTACAAATGAAATGCCTAATAGTCAAAGTTTACATTTATCGATTGATTATAAAATTTATATAAAGAGAAAGACCTTTGTTCTATAATGATCTTTATTTATTTATTCATTTATTTAATGCAAACAATTACATTATCAATTGATCATTAGTACATGTAGAATTGAAACGAAATTATTTCGTTTTATAAGTATTTATTAATTGATAATTAGATTAGTTTGAAATGTAATAGATTTTGATAGAGATTTTAATGGATAATTTCAAAATGTTAGACCATCACAATTGAAAACCTGGAAGCACTGGACGGCCGTTTCGTCCTGTTGTGGGACTCCTCAGCAGTGTGCATCCACGATCCCACGAGCGGGATTTTCAATTGTGATGGTCTAACATCAACTGGTTCAAGATCTCAATCAAAAATTTAATAATCTCCACAACCCCTATACTAGTAATTTCAAAATGAACACTTTTCAGTAGTAAATCATTATTTCATTAAAATTTTAAGACTTTTCATTTATAGAATTCAAGATATTCATATATGTACTAAACATTTAAATTATAGTTTATAATGGAAAACATTATGGTAACATTATGTTGAATCATATCCGTGAGGAACATCAGGTTAGATTGCTAGGAGAAACTTTGAAATTATTTGAATAACAAGTGTACTTTTGTATATAATGCTTTCTATATATCTGGGCCTCAATTTTTTTTGACAAAATGCTCATTCGAATTTTGATGAATATTCGTATAGACATTGATTTAAAATTTTCTTAAGCCTTATTATCAATTTCTTTCTTTCTTTACTGCTTAGATATGACACATTCATACAACGATTGTATAAATATCGAAACAATCTATCAAATTAAAATATATCCACAGTAATTTAGTGTGTAAATAAGGCTAAAAAGGGACTGGATACATAAATGAATATGAACTATTGATCTATAAAACTTAACCTTACTAATCAAATGACAGTAACATTTCTGTTACCAAATATTGAAATACATTGATAGATTAAATTAAGTGTTTCTCACATCAATTATTCATGTGTATGATCTTGTTTTATCATGAAAATGTGTCAGATACTACAAATGATTGATTTAGTAAAGATTATCAATAAACTATAGAAATAATTATTCATCATCAATGTAATATCTAACACAAAAGAGTATCGTCTTAAATCATTATAATACATCAATGAAATGGATAGATACAAGAAAATAACTATCCTAATTAAAGTGATCTCAATTTTTCAGTGGAAAATATTCAAATTGTATACTAATAATTATTAATCTAATTTATCTATTGAATTTAATTATAAAATGTCAATCAATCATTAATAATGATGATAATAATAATAACAATAATAATAATGATTGTGAACTAATGAACTTGATCTAGTTAACCTTAAATGTTCAATAAAATTCAATGTAACCTAATAGAACTGACAAGGAATTAGAAGAATTAGGTAAATAAATAAAAAAGGATATATATATAATAGATTAATGAATTAAGGAAAAATAATTAAATAATATACATCAGTCACTTTTTATTAGCAAAAATTAATCACAATTTATCCCTGGGGTTTAATGGTTAATTTGTCACTGAGTAATCAGTACAAGTTCTCTGTTCAATCTTTGAAGACGTAATTTGCATGTACTACTGAATAATATCATACTGGATAGAAACACTCCTCCAGTGATCTCTAACTTTTTGAATGATATACAAGCTAAATTTAATCCCTGATGAATATTGTCTTGTAATAACCGTTAATTCGATTCTCAGTTTTATTTAGTTACTAAATGTGAGATTGTTAAAACAGTATGGAATCAGATCAGATTAGACGTCAATGATACATAGGATATGATATGATATAATCTATGAAAACCTGGAAGTAACTTCCATCAGAATTCGATGTCTATCAAGTTACTTATCAGTAACATGTAACAATATACAAGATCAAACTGAAGTATTGAAAGTTTCACAGAGAACAAGACACATTTAAATAACTAAATCAGAATTTAATGAATTATATTCCCAAGGAGAATAAAACCGACTTTATTTCACAGTTGAAACTAGTTTTTATTAAGAAGTACATTCAACCTATATGAAATCCCTA